TTGCCAATTACTGGCTCCTCCAGGGTCACTATGTTTGGCCTCATTTGACTGAACATTTCAGTGAGTGCATCTACTGAAAATTGCTCTTCACTCTGTGCAACAATTTGAGTTTCTTCTCCATCTTGGACTACTCTGACAGGACCATAATTTCTTTTGTACATGAACCTTTCTACTGAGTTTGCTTCTGCGACAAAAGGTCTATGATCTGCCTGCAACACTTCTGCTTCATCCTTGTCATTCTAGAAAACCAGGCATTGATGGAGCGATGAAGGTATGCAGCGACTTTCGTGTATCCAATCCCTTCCTAATAACACGTTGTAATTAGTAGGACTATCTATTACGAAGAAGATTGTGATCCTAATAATTGCCCCTACAGTTATGTCCAGTGGCATAACTCCTTTAGCCGAAGTTGATCATCCATTCAAACTTGTGAGGATGATTTCTGTTGGAATCATATCACTTTCTACCTTTGCAAACTTTCTCATCATTCTAGACGGGATAGTGTTTATAGCTGCTCCGTTGTCAATGAGTACTTTTGCCACATTTATACCATTGACCAAGGCCTTCACATACAATGGTCTCAAATGCTTAGTTAATTTCATGGTAGTCCTTTTAAATATAACCTTCTCAACATCATCTATTTTTATTTCCTGTTTGTCCTCTGTTGAATCATTTCCTCGTGATGATTCAACGTGCAAAATGTCACACTGAACTTTTTCTTCTTGAATTCTCTCTTTACTACTCTCCAGAACTTCTTCTCCAGTTACCCAACCTGTGGGAGTAGGCAATATTCTTGGAGATGATCCATACTTTTTAGAGCGAGGTACTCTCATTTTCCTCTTGGGTGGCCCATACAGCACATAATAATCGAAAGAACGCCCAGATGGTTTCCCCAACAAGTCCACTTCACGAACTCCCTTTCGATGTAGTTGCTTCAACAGAGTATTGCGCGATACTCCTATCTTTCTTGTTTCTGCTTCCAGATCAATTTCATCTTCGATGTCTGTCATACCATCATCCTCTTCATCATTGTAGGCCCCTCCAGAAGTTTAGCCTTCTTCACATTCCAGCACACATGCTTCTTGTTCATTATCCTCCATTTCTTCTTCTTCTTTCTCTTTGTTCTTGAATTCATTAGCTAGTAAATAGTTATTAGCCATGACAGGAGGTAACGTACCGAACTGAATAGTAAGTAGCTGATCTGGATCTTCTTCATCCCTTCTGTCTCGCTCAAACTTCAATCTCCCAGAAGAACTCTCGGCAGTT